CTAGGTTGCAACATCTACCCAACAACAATTGGCCAGCTCTAGAAGCCGGAGAAACCATCAGCCCAGGCGGCTCCCAGCCGCTCCCGCTCGCCTGGCTCGATTGTCTTGCATCCACTTGCAAGAAACATTGAGGGCTGACCCAGACTCCTTGTACTCCAAAAGAAGATTTTGGATTTCTGGTAGCTCGAAATTCATGTTGGAGACGAACCTCAGAGCATGGGTTCAAGACATACGTACGTGTCTCTCAGACAGTCTGGGATCCATAATATTCATACTCATGAAACTTTCTCAAGAGATGTGACAACCAAAACAGCCGAGAATTCAATAGGACAAACGCAAATGCGGTGGGTTCACAGGCCAAACCGAAGCAAGTGGGAGAACATGTTTGAGACCTAAGAAGGAACGCCCAACTGGACCTCCTTGCTGTCAGAATTGCTTCAAGTTCTAGCATAACTTATAAAAAATGGCTGACATCGAAAACATTGCCAGGCAAAAAACTGCAGAGAAACTCTCGCACTCTGCCAGCCTTGGACCGTAAGTTGTTGCTCACCATCTTGGACACATAGCTTCCAAGGCCTCCGGTCTTCTTGTCTCCAGCGAGCCATTCGTTGGCACTGTGCCGGGCAAAAATCAACTGCTCGGGCAACATGTCGATGAAGGTCGAATCTGGAACCCACCAGTAGTGAAGAGCTCGGAAAGTCTGCACGTGCTTCACGAACAAAGACCACCCGCCCGAGACTGCAATGGCAGCTGGAATTCCATATGCAGTTGACCACTGCATCATGGCCTGCACCTTCCAACCGGTCCCGGCCGTGAAGACAGGGATACATGCTGAGGAATTGTGACGACATGCGGGAGCAAACCACCAGCGGTTGTTTGCATCACACTTAGCAGCAAATGAACCATCTGTTTGGTTTACAACCCCGTCATAGTCACCTGAATATCGGGCATAGTCTCCCATTCGACTCGGATTGCTCATATCCGTCTCATTGCACTTGGCCAATTCTGACAGGTCCACACCATGAATGGAGTCGAAGTATTTCCTAGGTGCGGTGTTCGAGTAGGAGACAATATGAGACAATATATAGCTCGACCCCTTGGGAAGTTTAAGACAGTGTATTCAAAACCCATGTTACCAGAAGGTCAAGGTGGCAGAAGAGTTCTCGCTTCGCTTTTGGAGATCGGCGAAATCAGTCAACAACTGAGAGGAGGCTAGCACTCAGAAGCTGTTCAGCCCAGCTTCTTCGGATCATGATGCGTCGTGTTGTAGCCTCAAACGGTCAAACAGGATGAAACAGGGTCAAACTCGGCAAATCAAAATGAACAGGTCTGGACAATGAATATAAAATCATGCGTGTGGCATACGCGTGCGCTTTGAGACCCCCGAAAGACTTTGGAAAAAGGACGAGTCAACAAAGTCTAAGTCAACTAACAAATCAACTAAGCACGTCGCAACAAGTTCTATTCAAACCCCAACAAACCCCAACAACATCCAACAACCAAGCTTTAAAGATAAAAGCACTGTTAAACGACCGTTCAGTAGCTCTTGTAGAAATCCAGGGCGAGACCCGATTCGCTGTAGGCAGCTTGGAGAATCGCTCGGCTTACATACATGGATTCTTCTCCTGCATACCCCATGCTTCCTAAATCCTCCGCCGCAAGTCTTGGATACTCCTTGGCGAACTGATTCTGAGTGGAAGCATAGCTTCCAATCCAAGAGTCCACGCTCACATGGATCGTCGTTTCTTGGACGCCGCAGACCCTGTTGTCTTTGTCGTTGAAGTCGGTACATCCTGCCAAAGCGAAGACTGGAGAAGCTCCATTCCCACCCACTGTAGGATCGACCTCAGCATGGAAACCAAGCACCTCGCGGATCATCAGCGCTGTCATCTGGCTGAGAAGAGCGGACGATGCCCAAGCCATTTCGAACACTCCGATGTGAATGTTGTTGCCGGCATCATCCTGAAGGCAGCACACACAATCCATTGCATGAACAGCCATGGGTTTCCAAGCAAACGGCGCATTTCTATGTTAGCTTCCGTGTTAGCTTCCTGATGCTTTATGCATGATGCTTTATCCAACCCCCTGTTCCTGGATGTACTCTCGCTGGCTTTCTGGCACGCCGTCATTGAGACAAAGTTCTGAGCCCCAGCCCACCATCATGCCGAGAAGCACCACTGCCAAGCGCAGCATTGCTCCCCACAGCTTCGAAAGCGGAGGTTGGGGAATCCAGAGATGAGCTGAGAGCCAAATGCTGGAACCGGACCGTTCACTGCAACTGCTTTGCATGCTTTGAGTACCACTGGCGCTCTACAAACCCTCATGTTGGTGCTTTAGATGCTTTAGTCCACCAACAAATTGGAACAGAATCGACTTAGACGATCGCACATGGCAGATCCTTGAATGCTTGAACTAAAGCAAATGCCGCCGCTCCAACTCTGCCATCTCCCAAGGCTTTCTCCCTGATCTCTCCGAAGGCTTTGATTTTCTTTTTCCTCTTGCGACATAGGAGGCTTGATCGCATCAGAATTATGTTGAAGATCATGCTCCGCTGGAGTGCATCGTGCAGCTGCTCGTTCGAGCATGGCACATGTTTGAGTTTCGACGCAAAAAGACAGTTTCAGGCGTTAAACCATTAAACATTTGCGGGAGCCGGCGAGAACAAAAAGATTGTTTCCGCAGACACCCTCTCAAGCTGCGCTGAGCAGCTTGCAGCTTGGAAGCAGTTCTTAGAAAGATACCGAAGGCTGAGCCCCAAGAAACATAAACCCAATATGGAGGCATGGTGAAAAAACAAACATCTGAAAGAAATACCGTTTGTCCAAGATCAATCTTCACCTCAATCGGCGGCCCAACAAACCGCCAGATTTCGGTTGTGGTTCCCAACCTTCCTACTGCACCAAGCAGTCGCCCAACTTGCTGCCTTCGCGTACTCAAACCAGGGTGGCTCCCAAGACACTCACCCTGCACCGACAAGAGAAAGGAAAGCTACAAACAGCATTCATAAGCTATACCGTACTTACTTCTCATTCTCTACTGGGCGCCACCCCGAGAAAAAGATCTCTGGCGGTGCGAGAAGCTATTTTCTCGCTTCGCATGGCCCTAGGCGAGCATTTTGACCAGTTGGATCATGGTGAAATCCCGATTAACTGCTCGATTCTTTCAATCCCCTGCTACCCAGGACCATTTCAGAAAAAAATCACACCGTGGCGGTCTGAGTGACCTCCTCTCGAGTCACCTCTGAAGGCTCATTCGTCTCCTTCTCCTGGGCATCGTAACTTGATGAGCTCCTGAAATCAGTTCCACACTCCACACGATCTGCATTGAGAAGTGTGAAGAAAATCAGACTTCTAATTTGGCTGATGAGATCTGATGAGGTTCTGACTGGAAATGCTTAAGATCAAGTTCCGAAAAGAGTCCTGTTTGGGAATACTCGCAAGAAACGTGGTTCAACAGGGTGTGCAACGGTCCAAAACCACCCCCTGCACTCTAGCTACTCCCCACGACTATTAGCGTATCTTCCGTTTGGTTTTAGTTTTTGGTGCCCACATGTTCCTTCAAGGCCCTGAGTCCTGAAGGTGCGTGTTCCGGTCGCGATGCGACGGGAGGAGCTCTTGCGCAGGCTCCCATGACTCAGAGTCATATTGAGGTCGTCCGCAAGAATGTTGATCGCACGGGTGATGGTGCCAATGTCATATGTTGAGAGATTGCTCAAGTCCTTGATGAAGGTCGCCTCCTTGCCTTGTCCATCTTCCTTGAGGAAAGTCGCCACGTCCAGGAGACTCTGAAAGACATCCTTCTCTTCTGGGACCTTGCCCAGGTTCATGATGCGCAATTCCTTTGAACTGCCCAGCGCCGAGCGGTAGATGAGAGCGGTCAGGCCAAGCATCACCATCCCTCCGAGGATGACGACCATCAAAGAGGAGATGACGGTTCCGAAGGTCGCCAGAACACGTGCTGCATCTTCCCCGCTGCTGTCGGCATATCCAAGCGACCCTGCCAAAAGCATCACGAGGAGCGACACTGAGACTCCATCGACCAGATTCAGGATTGGGGATTTCCATGGCAGGAACCACAATTGAAGGCAAAGAGATCCAAGCAGAATCATGTGCATCAGCGTAAGTTGCCTGAGCCGCACAGCCTTCCCCTTCGGGTTTCACTTGCGAGATCGGGGGGGGCGGAAATTTCATGACATGTCCTATCGTGCTCAAACACCCAAAGTACGGCGCCCGTAAATCCCAACGACTTCATTGTGCACCCGAGTTACAAGCTGGGCATGTTGGTCGCGATCACACCTGGCATGGACAGCAAGGGTCCTCGGGCCAAGAGGACCAAACCAAAATACCACACATTGGGCCGGAAGCGGAAGATCAAGAAGCGAATAGCCGCAAGCCTACAAAGGACACATCGCATGGGTGTGGATCGTGCCACGCTCTAGAACAGCCACACGTTTCCATGTATGGTTTAAGGTATGTTAATGAACCATATACGTATACATAATTTAAAAAAAAAAAAAAACATAAAACCATACATGAACAACAGACACACATTCCATGTAGGTCTTTGCCGTCTAGGAGTTGCTTTCCCGAATACGACACGTCCGACGGGTTGCTTTCTGGGGTCCGACGCCCTGGACGGCGCGTCGGGCGTTGAGTTTGTCCAAGTCTGTCCAATGCTTGCGATTTGAGAGTCGTCTGTACTTGCATGCAACATGCCATTCAGCTTAAGACAACGCTTGGACCCATGCTTTTCGGATATCTGATGGCTGGGAGCATGCAACATGCCATTCATTGGCTTTTCCACGCAGAAGTCCATGCTTTTCGGATATCTGATGGCTGGGACCTTCTGGCAAGACTTTCGAAGTGGAAGTCTTCTGTCAAGAAATCCCAGATACATGGACGACATGCCAGGCCAAAGCAGATCGTCACTGTTGCACCAGCAAGAAGCCCAGCCACACAAAGCTTCCTTATTGTGGTCACCCCCCCCCACAATCCAAACAGGACAAATGGGGGTTGTTCAAAAGTCCTTTCATTTTTTCCAGGCCTTTCGCAGGACCTTCGCGAAGCTTTCGCAAGCTTTCGCGCGTGGGGTTTTACCTCTGTCGGCGAAAATGGTTTTTCGTTGGGGCTAGAGGCTTTCAAGGATAGTTGCCCTGGCACGTCTTGTGTCCTCTGATCACTGACACATTGATTGCTGAGGAACAGGAAGCCAGCGAACCAAGACATTTTCATGTTGGTGTGTTTTTGGTTGGGCGCAACCCTCCATGAACAAGAGACGGCTCAGTCAGGCCAGTTTGCTCAAACTTCCAATTTGCTTTTCCCGGGCCGGGAAAAAGCAAAGTGGTTCAGACTTCGAATTTGCTTTTTCCTTGGGCCGGGAGAAAAGCAAAATGGTTCAGACTTCCAATTTGCTTTTTCCCCGCCCGGGAAAAAGCAAAATGGCTCAGACTTCGAATTTGCTTTTTCCCAACCCGGGAAAAAGCAAAATAGTTCAGACTTCCAATTTGCTTTTTCCCGGGCCAGGAAAAAGCAAAATGGCCAGACTTCCAATTTGCTTTTTCCCGGCCCGGGAAAAAGCAAAATGGTTCAGACTTCGAATTTGCTTTTTTCCAGCCCGGGAAAAAGCAAAATGGCTCAGACTTCCATTTTGCTTTTTCCCGGGCCAGGAAAAAGCAAAATGGTTCAGACTTCCAATTTGCTTTTTCCCGGGCCGGGAAAAAGCAAAATGGTTCAGACTTCCAATTTGCTTTTTCCCGGCTCGGGAAAAAGAAAAATGAAACTCCTTCCAATTTGGAAAGCAATCTGTGGGGGGAGATTGCCTTCTCCGGCCTGGAAACAAGCAGCGCCTGTGAGGCTCGAGCCCACGACCTTCTGCTTATGAGCCTGGCGCCGTATCCAGCTCTCTGAAATAATTGCTCTTTTCAGGCTTTGCAAAAGCAAGCTGGATGTCCAATTTGCTTTTCCGGCTCAAACTTCCAATTTGCTTTTTCCCGGGCCTGGAAAAAGCAAAATTGGAAGTCTGAACCATTTTGCTTTTTCCAGGCCCGGAAAAAGCAAATTGGGTGTCTGAACCGTTTTGCTTTTTCTTCGCCCGGGAAACAGCAAATTGGAAGTCTGAGCCAGCCCTGGAAAAAGCAAATTGGAAGTCTGAGGTGGGGTGGGGTTTGGCCCTGTCGTCTTTCGCGTCCACAATGCGAACCTTTCGCCATACTTGCGCAGTTTCCCACGACAAAGAATTTTCCAAGGGTCGGGAAAAAGCAATTGGACATGTATCAGACTTCCAATTTGCTTTTTCCTGGGCCCGGGAAAAAGCAAAAGGCTCAGACTTCCAATTTGCTTTTTCCCAGGCCGGGAAAAAGCAAAATGGTTCAGACTTCCAATTTGTTTTTTCTCGGGCAGACTTCCAATTTGCTTTTTCCCGGGCCGGCAAAAAGCAAAATGGTCCAGACTTCCAATTTGCTTTTTCCCGGGCCTGCTCAGACTTCCTATTTTTCTTTTTCCCGGGCCGGGAAAAAGCAAAAGGCTCAGACTTCCAATTTGCTTTTTCCCGGGCCGGGAAAAAGCAAAATGGTTCAGGCTTCCAATTTTTTTCCGGGCCGGGAAAAAGCCAGACTTACAATTTGCTTTTTCCCGGCCCGGGAAAAAGCAAAATGGTTCAGACTTCGAATTTGCTTTTTCCCAGCCCGGGAAAAAGCAAAATGGCTCAGACTTCCATTTTGCCTTTTCCCGGGCCAGGAAAAAGCAAAATGGTTCAGACTTCCAATTAATGGTTCAGACTTCCAATTTGCTTTTTCCCGGCTCGGGAAAAAGAAAAATGAAACTCCTTCCAATTTGGAAAGCAATCTGTGGGGGGGGATTGCCTTCTCCGGCCTGGAAACAAGCAGCGCCTGGGAGATTTGTGCTTATGAGCCTGGCGCCTTGTCCATTAGGCCACAGCTTTCTGAAAAACTTGCTTTTTTCAGGCTTTCCAAAAGCAACCTGGATGTCCAATTTGCCTGCGCGGCTGAAACTTCCAATTTGCGTTTTCCCGGGCCTGGAAAAAGCAAAAGGTTCAGACGTCGGCCCGGGAAAAAGCAAATTGGTTCAGACTTCCAACCAAGCCATTTTGATTTTGCCGTGTTTTTGGTTGGGCCCAACCCTCCATGAACAAGAGACGGCTCAGTCAGGCCAGTTTGCTCAGACTTCCAATTTGCTTTTTCCCGGCCCGGGAAAAAGCAAAATGGTTCGGACTTCCAATTTGCTTTTTCCCAACCCGGGAAAAAGCAATCGGAAGTCTGAAGAGCAATTGTTCTTGCAGCGTGGCCAGGTCACCAACATGACTTGCGCAGACCTTTCGCAGGACCTTCGCGAACCTTTCGCGACTGCAGTGAGAGCACAATCGAAATCAGCCTTTGAAATTCGATTACTAACAAGGAAGAGGTGGGTTTTTGAACGACGCTCAAATGACCTGCCCGAATTGGTTCGGCCCGTGCGTCCCCGCAAAGGAGGAGTAGATGAAGCTTTTCGGCTTTCAGGTCGTAAAAGAAGAGTGACGAATGGCTTCACAGGCTCGGCGCTCGGCTCAAAAAAGGGCTCTTCCGTTATCCGGCTTTTCTATCTGGCTCATTGACCTAGGTCGATGGATTTGTTGCCTTCAGTTTTTGCGACTTAGACGGCTGATTTCAGACTTAAGATTATCACTTAACCGCGTTTTCTCCTGTGTCCTTAGCAAGCAGTCTTCGACATTCGGATGCATTGCTCTGTTCCAACCCATGGTTCGTCGGCACTCGTCGGGTCCAGGTGGTCCCACCGTGTCGCCGGGGGCGGAGACCGGACGCGTAGCTGCGGAGACCGGGCGCGCGCTCCACGGCCGTCTGGATGTTAGGCCTTGATGGCGCCAGGTGTTTTGATAGGAAGACCTCCCCAATGGATTCCACAGGTTGCCGGAAGTCGGACTTCCTACTCGCATGAGGGTAGGAAGCATCCCAACCGCCCAAAGGGGCTGCCTGAAAAACGCATGCAGCTTTGGCTTTGGATGACGGTTTGGTGCACGTGTCATCCGGACAACGACAACGACACAGCGCATGTTCATCATGGTCCGTCCTTGATTTCCCCGACCACTTGGGTGCTTGATAGGCTGCGTAGCAAGCTGCGGTGAAGAAGCTGAAGGCCAAAAAGATCACCAAGGCACCAAAGATTCGCATGATCACCTTGCTGATGGTGCTGGCACGTCCAAGTAGAAACATCTCAACTAGGAATGCATCACATGAGTGAATAAAACAGTATATTTTTACGACTAATTAATAGCTAGTAAGATATTGTAAGTGTAGCATTTAATATCGGAATGGTTTTGGCACGACCTTCGAAACAGAATCCTGTGAACGTTCAATCAGAGAGCACGCGACAGATGGCCAATCCTGGAGAAGAAGTGGACCAAATATCTCTAACACTCTTCTCTGATGGGGCTAATCAATCTAGGTTTATCTACCTTTCGCTATAAGTGTTGAAGCAACATGAAGCAACGAACAAACAACAGCTCCAGGTCGTTTCAAAGCCTTGCTGTTCTCTTCAAATTGCGTGGTCATCAGTGCCGCAGAATACATTCGGATACTTCAAAATACTCTCCTGGCCGGTAGGATGTCGATAGCACATGAACGGCATGAGGCCGACATTGCACATGGTTGTGAAGCCGACCTGCAAGAATTGCCCCGTTGTACTGATTGTTTTGTTCTGCTCCCATGCAAGCTTGCGGCGCTTCAGAATTGGAATGAAGTTTGTAAGCAAACCAACAAGGGGCAACGCAAGAAACACAATCCAAAAGAACGAGGCAGTGCTCACATATCGGCCCACATTGCCGCCGGCAGCACAACTAAAGCCAAGAGCATCAAGGTTGAAGGTAAAGATCGAGGCAAAGTTCAGGATGTCTCGCAATCCATCTGGCCATTGAACAGCGACAGTGTTCAAGACACCCAAATTCTGGAATAAGGCCACTAGCATTCCCAAGGCTGCGGTGGTGGACATCATCACACTGGCCTTCGCTGTATAGCTTGATGTTAGCATATAGTAAGAGCCACAGACTCCAACCACGACCATTGTCACGGAGAAAGCCCATGCAGCTGGCACAGCTCCACAGGGTTCGCATTTGTTGGAAGCCCAATAATGTCCATCAGCGCAGTCACCACAAGTCAAACCTTCACGGTCTCCGAAGCAAACACCTGGAGAACCACCGGGACAATAGAGCTCCGCAGCGCATTTGTAAGTGTCAAGAGGTGCTTCTGGATTGCCTTTCTTTGATCTGTACAATCAAACTGGAAAACATCCGAAAACAAAAAATACCTCAAGCAACACCTGGGAGCCAAGACTGATACAACTTGTCTGGTGAGTATGCTATGTTACAAGGATCAAAATTTGCTCAAGCACATCTAACTCACTGAAGAAGCCCCTCTTCACGTAGGGACCCTTCAAGTCCGTGGTTCCGGAAGCTGCTTCTAGCTTTGCAATAGTGCTTCCTTTTGGACAATGCATGCTTTCCTCATTGCAATCCATGCAAGTGGAATCCTGCTCGATTTTCCCCGCCTGGCACACACAATCTGCGAGAGATGATGCACCCAACAACAGGGTCGTTCGGGAAGCACCACAAGAGATGCACGAGGTCTGAGCTGTATCTGGTTGATAGTCTCCTTCATCGCATGGAGTGCACGTTGTGCTCCCAAAACTGCTGGCTGAAGTGCCCTTTGGACACGGCTCACATTGGGTGGAGTAAGTGTTTGATTGACTGTAGCCAGGAGGGCATTGTTTGCATTGGAAGGTCCTTCCCTCATCATCAATGAGCTCCTCAGATGCAGTTCCTGCCTGGCACAGGCCGCATCCAACGGCCAGTGTCCTGTTGGGGACAAAAGCTCCGGAGGCGTCAACCAATCCAAAGCCTTCGTAGCAGCTGGTCAACTTTGGTTTCCAGGCCGACCACCTGGTTCCAGGGAAAGCCAAAGAAACCAGCTTAAACATCTTAAACGGCAGTCGTTTCATTGTCATTCAGCATGACGTTTCCTCAACTCCTCAACTCTGCATGTCGTCTCAAGTTTAGATGTGCGAAGGTTGAACCAAAAAAAATCTGTGCAAACCCCGTGAAATGAACCCATCTGCCGTGTGTTCATGAATTCAATATTAGACTTATTAGACCATATGATATGCCATATGTTCGATCTTTAGTACCCTAAAACCAGGTCACTCAGGTTCTAGTTCTAGGT